TTCAATCGCTGTGACAACATTCTCAAAAATAGATCTGCCACGTACAAATATTCCCTGATCGCGAGCCACTAGGCCTGGCAAATAGTTGCCAAGTATAGTCGCCAACAACTTGACGAGCAATTTGTAGACAACGTTAAGCAGGGAGATGGGGCGCCAGTTCTTGATATCGCTCCGGTCATCTTTCTTGAACAATAATGAAATGATGCTCCTTGTCATCGAGGTGCCAAACCTTCCTCCTTCCCTGATTTCATTGAACATTTTGACCAAATCCTTTGCCAAAACATGCCAACAGGTACTAAAAAACTCCACAGGCAATCCGTCATCGCCCGGTGTCTTTCCCTTGGCCATATTCCCAAGAGTGGCTGCAAGCTCCTCTTCCGTAATAGGCCGGTCCAGCAGCAATCTCCCTTCCTCTGGTAGTCTGCAATCGATATTGTCCCATACTGTTGATTCTACCGCCATGTCATCATCCAGATCATCCAGGGGCCTTCTTGTAGTCATAATGTCGCGGAAGTAGGTGGCCGCGTATTCGCACATTTTATCATTTGAAAGAACAACCGGTAAGCCAGGCAGATGAGGGTGTTTTAATTCCCTCATTTCAACTGCAACTTTCCTTGGGAGGAGCCTCCTAAAAGCCTCCTTGGAGAGCCTGTCTGCCGAAACAATCCCTTTCACCTCCAGTATCTTTGCCCTCCACTCCTGCTGTCCAACCTGATATTCCTCCCATTCATGGAGTCTCTCTTGTCTTTCGTCCGCCCATAATAGGTCCGAGATTGGGTTTAGTCCCAAGTTTTGCTCCGCTTCCTTAACTCTTGCCCGCAATCTAGCTGCCTCCTTGTTGCAGAGCAAGGCAACAATTCTTGAAAAGGAATCCAGCTTGAGTGAAATAACACGGAGTCCTGCATCAATCTATTCAGCCAAGGTGGCGAACGCAGACTTTGCAGTTTCCGAGTCAATCCAAAACCCTTCCACCCATGAGGTTATTCCTTCGTCAAGCAGCAGCACTGTGTTCAACCGAAAAAGGCCTGACCCTTTGTCCCCCACCGCCGCAATAGCGCACTTCATCACCACCGGTTTGTGGTCAAACAACGCGGTACTTGGGTCTCCATACTTAGAACACAACTTTTCGCCTCCTCTGACACCAAGAAAAAATCAATCCTCTTTCTGACCCCCGCAAGTCTGGGGGTGTGGCCATACCACGTGAAACCAGCGTCAGTCGGGTACAACTCTCTGAAGACATCCCTGAGTTTCCACTGTTCCATCCATTTTATCAACTTGGCTCTGTCTGCCGTCATGCCATCTGGGGACTCAGAATCCAAACCAGGGCAACAAATCGTGTTCCAATCTCCGCCTATCACCAGACGCTCACTCCTCGGGAGGACATGCGGGAGAGTATCAAAGAAAACCACACGACCACTAGGGTCGTTCGGGGCGTAAATCGTGGCAAACACCTAATTCTCCCCTCCAATACACCATCTCACCCAGCACCATCGGCCCCACATGTCACTGTCAAAATCCACAAGTTGAGCTTCCACCCGTTTGTGCACCAGGATAGCAACGCCCCCTTTTAATCCCCTGGCAGGGGACCAAAGTTAGGGCCCATCCCACCAATCATTCAGTTGAGCCAGCTTGAGTTCAGACAGTTTCGTCTCCTGGAGTATAATCACGTCCAATCTCTCTTGGTGTATCAAAGCTTTAAACATTTTTTTCTTTTCGACGCCCCGCACCTATCCCAGTCCCCTGACGTTTCTCGTGGCTATTCTAAGTCTGCCCATCAACAGGCAAGAGACCGGGAGCAGATTGGATTCCGGCTGGCTGGGGGTTCACATTTCGTGCACCTTGCGGGACATCAGATTCATCCATCACTGCCCAATCAATACTCACACAACGAAAGAAGGGACTGGACGTCAAGTTGCATGATCTGGGCATACTAGGGTGCAAATTGGCCAGAAAGGAGGCCGCCACACCTGGCCCTGGGACAAAATTTCATCAGATGCTTGAACAAGAGCATCCAAAGGGAACGACCCCAAACCCACTCTCTGCAAGCAAGACCATTCATCTGCAGAAAACCGCGCATCAATAAAAACCACAATGTACCGTATCATACGATCATCTTCTAAAACCACTCTGATCTTTGGCATGTGGAATTCCGGAAAAATACGGGACTGCAGTCTATCCGCAAAGTGGTATCTCACCCTATCAGTTATCAACGTCGGGGTAAGAACCCCAGGTATGCCAATAGTAGGCAGGGAGAGATCCCCACTGTCATCCAACAGACCTACTACATGAATCGTCGAGCCTTGCAACGAGCAGACTAACGGAAGCTACATTTGCTCCTCCAAGTCGTTTTGCCCACGCCCTTGTACCTCTGCACCAACTGGGATCCCATCCACGTGTACCACCTGAGCCCTACCACCTTCCTCAATTTCCTCTTCCGATTCCTCCTCTTCATCTTCCACCTGCGTAGCTTGCTGTTCCTGTGGTCCTGGGTCCTGCCATCGTGCTTCCTCTCTCGACTCCTAGATCACGCGATCCCCTTCCGGTGCTACCCTCAGTAGCATTTGCTCCATGAACGACTGCATAACCAACATCATAGGGGTGCGAGGGGAACAATTCCATACTCGCTCCATTGAAGCTGAAGGGCTGATAGCCTAGGCCCTGCCACTGTAACGGACCCCAACCAGGCGCAAATTGCGGATATCCGTTGCTGTACATTGGATGCTGCACCGAATGAAGATGCGGTCTCCTGATTGGTATCGGGTGTCTAGCTCTGGCCGGAAGGACTTGTACGTTTCTCGCTCCCCCTGATGAAAGTGGGACTTGACCCACGGCTCTAGGCTCGCTCCTAATGGCTCTCGACTGACTATCAGAGCGTGGTTCGGCTTGGTCTTGTGGGGCCTGATTGTCGGACCTACCCAACGATAGGGCAGGCCTTGAATGTCCAGCTTCTGCCCTTGTTCCAGCTTGCTCCCTTGCCGCTTCCCGTATGTGGCGGTTATCTTCCGGCCGAGCACCTCTGGCAGCGCTAATTTTGCGCTAACGCTCCGGTACCGGTGCGGGAGGCAGACTTGGCACTTCCAGCGGACTCAAGGCCCGGGGGGGTACGGCGGTTGGCGCAGCGCGCTCTAAACCCGTACGGCCAGGTAGAGCTGGCGCAGCCATCACTGGCGTCGTCATCATTACGTCGTCAGTGCAATTCGCTCGTCGTGTTCGGCATTTTCCGGGCACGTTTCAGGGAAGGGCGTGCGAGTGGCTTTCCCCCATTTCTGCGGAGCTTTGAAGGCGCGAAGGTGTGGCCGTTGGATAATCATGTGCAGGTGCGAGAATATGTTTGGGCGAGCGCCGGGAAGGCGCCCGTCGTTGATGCGGGAATTTTTTGGATATTAGGGGATGGATAGTAGGGTTGAATAAGTCGACAACGGTGCAAGTTTGAGTTATGCACGGGTAGGTTCTTGTGACGCCTGTGAGGTATTGGTTGTTGGTAGTGTGGTAGTAGTGCGGTTTCGAGGCCGAAAAAAAGAGTTGAGCCGGGTGGGATTTGTTTCCCGGAAGGTGCAGCAGTGGTATACCTTTTTTCCCTCGGAAGTATGGCGACCCCGAACGCCTCCACCAGCCAACAGAGGGCTCGAGATCACTCGCCTCCAACACATACGGATGTCCCCCTCTCTGACAAGGATCGAATGAAGCTTCTCATTGCCAAGTGTTATGAGGACGGTATTCTGCCTGATAAGTTTTGTCATGGGGAGTGGGTTGTAGAAGCGGGTGTACGTACCTTTGTGGTTAACACTCGCTTGGATGAGTTGACAACTAACTGGTTGAAAGAGAGGACTGTTACTATAATTTTTCAGGGAGAAGCTCGTGACCTTCCGATGCGGGTAAGAGAGGATTTGATTAGAGCCTACGAGAATGGCTGGTATAGGCAGAGAATCTTCGATCGAAGTGTCAAACGGGGTAGGGTGCATGCAGAAGGGCAGAATGTGGTATCTTACGTTGCACGGTCCAGGGAGGTAGCCCAATGGATGATTGCTAAAGCTGAGGATACAGTAGCAATAAGAGGGGTGGAGTACGAAATGTTGTTCAAACCCTGGCGCACTCGGACTGAATTGGAGGAGAGAAGGTGCCTTGAGGATGAGACCAAGTTTTGCGTGATGGCTATCAGAGTCCCTCTGAGGGCTATGTTTCACGTGGAAAGCATGGTGGAAACAGCGATGGGTCATGTAATTAACAGCCAACCACCCGAGCAGGACCGGTCAAGACCCAAGTTGATGAACCTGAAGTTTGAGTTGGTGAAGGAGGCTGAAGCAAATTTCGAGCCGGAGCTGTCAATTCGGTTGGGTAGCGAAGTGTTACGAATTAAGTTTGTCTGTAAACACACACCTTGGTGTGAAAGATGCAAATGGTGGTATCATACTGCGGATGATGGGTGCCCTCGAGCGGATGAACAGGAGGTTGAACAGGGTGGTCAGCGAGGAAGGAGAAGGGAGGGAAAAGCGGACTTCTTTTTGTGTGGTAATGAATAAGCTGAGTTTTTTTGTAAAAACAAAAAAACAAAAAAGAAAGGGGCCGCGGTGGCATGTACTGGTGCTTCGAGGAAATGAAAGGAAAAGGATAAGGTCCGATGAGCCCATATAGCACTCTGTCATGTAGTCCTACAGCTTGAGGGCACTATTGTCCGACCGTCCTTGAGTTCTTTTTTCTTTGTTTCGAAGGTCCTACAGACTCACGTCCCTCTGGGCCTGTAGGCCGGTCCCGCCGCTCTCCTGGAGTGGACCATGTGTTTGCGCCCGTGCTCCATCTCAGGAGGGTCAGTCGTCCTTCCCGAACCCGCGGGTAGTTTGGGAGTGGAGAAGGCGGGGCGGGGCCCAAACCGTATTATTATTTCGTCAGTCCGGCCACAGGGCCCCCCAAATGTTACGCTGGAAGTATTTCGCACTCGTGCGCGAACGCAAGGAAAACGACGACGACTGGCCAAGCTGGCGCGAGCCCACGGCCGGCGGGATCGCGCGCACCGGCCTCCCGTGCTTTCTGTTCTGGCTCCTTTTTGTCCTGTTCCCTGCCCTCATCTGCGTCCTGCTACTTTTTCACAGTTTTGTGGCTTCGTCAGCGGATTTGTTGCTGTCAGATTGAGAAAGAACAAGCGACTGGGAAGCACCGTGTGCTCTTGTCGGCACCTGCTGCTCCCCTCTCCTCCGCTCCTCCCCTTCACCACCCGGCCCTCCAGCCGTACTCATCATCTCTCTCTGCTTGCTCCCTTCTGAGCTATGGCAAGATGATGATGGCGTTGGGGCGTCAGATCTCGTCATCGTCTTCCTCTCCTGACCTGAGGAAGGAAGACGGGATATTGAATGAAGGCTCGTGGAACTCTCGTGTTGACAATGGAGTGCCCTCTCACCGCGCACGTGGAGGGAGTGGGGTCGTCAGACAGCTAGTGGGAGGGGTCAAGTGCGACTGGGTGGAGGCTGGGCGCGAGTTTCTGTGCCGAGGCCGACGTGAGCTGGAGAAGGTAGGGCGAAGGTGGGAGTCGGGACGATCTGGAGATGGCGACACGTGTCGGGCGGAGGGAGGATGGTCGCTGGGAGTTCTCCGAACTATGGGGAGGCGGGAGCCATCTGGACCAGTGGTCCGCAAGGCAGGCGACATTGAGAGGAGGAAGAAGACGAACGTGTGTTCGGCCAAGTTGTCCTACTCGCGTGTCGCTCTCCCTGGTTGCGCAGAGGTGTCCATTGGCGCGGGATCCCGGGCGAAGTCGATGCCACGTGGCGAAGAGGGAACGGCCACGTGTCTGCTGGAGTCGATAAGGGCACGCGGGGTTATGAAGGTGATTGCGGCGCACTGCGCTGATGTGCTTGGTGGGGTTCGCACTGTGGTTGACAAGCTGGGACGAGGGGCCGCGCGGTGCCTGGAGATGATGCCACGTGGCGAGCTCGGAGTAAGGCATAATGATGACGAGATGGAGCGGGTGGGAGATAAGGCAATGGCTCTATGCTCCACGTCAGTGTCAGCGTTCGCAGCAGCAAGGAAGGGGAGTCGAGGTAGGGGGGCCGGAAGGGCGGGCGCGGAGGGGGAGGGGGAGGGGGAGAGGGAGGGAGAGTTGCCGCTGCCGGCGGCGGAGGGTTCGGAGACTCGGGGGGATGCGAAACGACCGAAGAAGGTAAGGTCGGCGCAGGGAAGGGGTAGAAGGAGGGGGCAGGGGACACGCATGGTGGAGGACACTGCGGAGGAGGAGGAACGAGTGCTGATCAGTGAGATATTGGTTAAGGACATGGACGGCCAAGATCTTGAAGATCAGGAGCTGTCGGAGGTTGCGCGTAAATCGCTCAAGACTTCCAAACCTAACTTCGCATTTACTGCGCGCGAGGTGCAGGAAGACGTTCATCGTATCATAGACACCGGCTACTTCGCGTCCTGCCTGCCCACGGCTGAGGACACCAGGGATGGGGTGCGGCTGGTATTCAAGGTACGAAAACTGTGTGTGTGTGTGTGTGTCTATGTGTGTGTGTGTGTGTGTGTGTGTGTGTGTGTGTGTGTGTGAGAGAGAGAGAGAGAGAGAGAGAGAGAGAGAGAGAGAGAGAG